TAGAATACTACTGCGCATGCCTAACATTGATAGAACACTACTGCGCATGCCTGACATTCACAGATCACTACTGCGCATGCCTGACATTCACAGATCACTACTGCGCATGCGTATATGTATGTACAATGAGTATGTATGCATACGATACGATGAATAAATGATAAAAGCCGAACGACCGAACGATGAAGTACGAAGTTACTAATATATATATATATATATATATATAAATAATAAATAATATATATATAATTATAATGTATATATATATATACTAGGGGGGCTTCGCCCCCCTGCGCGCTTCGCGCGCCAACCCCCTAACTATTTTTAATATTTATTTTAATTTTTAAAATCATGTTATCTTAATATGATGGCATAGTAATGAGTTAGAGCCCCTTTTTACCTGCAGTTGACATAAATGTTGACGTAATGTAAGGGCCATTAGGGGCTGTCCATAAATTACGTAAGTCATTTTTTGGGTAAATTTGACCCCCTTCCTCCCTCGTAAGATATTTTACATACATTAGCGCCATTTTTCCTATTGTTCGCAAGATCTTGCTGACCCCCCTCCCCCCTAAATGTCTTATGTAATTTATGGACGGACTAAAGATTTCGACGTAAAATAATAGACGTTTGTGGGCTTCATTTTTACCCGTAGGTCAAAACTGACCTTAAAATTGACCTAAATTTTGAGGAAACAGTAGGTCAGAAGGAATTTTCTTGTCAATTTTTGACGTGTAGGTCAAAACTGACCTTAAAATTGACCTAAATTTTAAGAAAATATCAGATCAAAGGGAGATTTCTGGTCAAATTTTAACTTGTAGGAAAAAACTGCCATTAAAATTAAAGTACATTTTGAGGACAGAAAAATAATTTTAATAGAATTTTTAAAAAAAATATGTCAATTTATAACATCTTTTATTGATTGAAACTTAATATTGAAATTGAGGTCAAACTTCTTTTAACCAATAGGTCGAAAATTCCGTCAAACTTTAATATAAGGGTACGACTTTTTAAAAAATCCTAATTAATTTGCTTTTTTCATGTATAGGCTAAAAAATATGTCCAATTTGACCTAAATTTTAAGGAAAGGTCAGGTCAGAGAAAGTTTTTTCGACAATTTTTGCGGTGTAGATGAAAACTGACCTTAAAATTGACCTAATTTTTGAGGGCAAAGGGAATTGTTCGTCAATTTTTTCCGTTAAGGTCAAAACTGCCCTTAAAATTAACCTACATTTTGAAGGTAAAGGGAATTGTTTGTCAATTTTTTACCTGTAGGTTAAAACTGCCCTTCAAATTAACCTAAATTTTGAGAGCAGAGGGAATTGTTTGTTAATTTTTAACCTGTAGATTAAAACTGCCCTTAAAATTGACCTACATTTTGAGGTCAGAGGGAATTATTTGTGAATTTTTGACGTTTAGGTCAAAACTGCCCTTAAAATTGACCTACATTTTGAGGGCAGAGGGAATTGTTTGTCAATTTTTTACCTGTAGGTTAAATCTGCCCTTAAAATTGACATAAATTTTACGGACAGAGTAAAACGCAATTTTTAACGCTTAGGTCAAAACTGCCCTTAAAATTGAACTAAATTTTGAAAGCAGAGCGATAAGTTTGTCAATTTTTAACTTTAAGTCATAACTACTCTTAAAATTGACTTAAATTTTGAGGGCAGAGGGGTTAGTTTGTTAGTTTCTTACCTGTAGGTTGAATCTGCCCTTAAAATTGACCTAAATTTTGAGTAATTTTGGCCTGTAGGTTAAAACTGCCCTTAAATTGACCTGAATTTAGGTCAAATATAACTTGTTTCTGACGATGGACCTACCTTGACAGTGGGACAACCTTGACTATGTTCCCCCCTACTATAAGGGTCCCTTAAAACTTTCTGAAACAGCGGCGGCGGCGATATGATTTTATATTAATAGGGATAGATTATATATTATATATATACATATATATATATATATATATATATATATATATATATATATATATATTTTTTTAGTGATGCCGAACGTCCAAACGATGAAGTACGGAATTACACAAACGACGAAACGACAGCGAATATCTTAATATTATAGGAGATATGTAGTTTTTAAAATTTGATTATTATTTTGATTATTGATATTTTTAAGTATATGAAGAAAATAATTTAAACATTCGAGAAAATTAGTTTTAAAGTAATTTTTTTAAGAAATTCAACGGTTATAAAATAAAAGCGGTCAGAAAATATTTTTACCCTTTCTGAATTTTCATTTTTCTTAAAAATTGGCGGAATTTGGTAGAAAATATGTTTTTGAATAAATAAAAAAAAAAGTTCTGAACTTCGAAAAAAGCTTTTATTTAAAAAAAAATATTTCAATTTTATGAAAATAGCCTAAATGTTATATTCAACTCCAAAAATTGTTAATAAAAACTTGCCAAGACCAACGTCGTTTTCTCAAGACAGAAATGTTTTTTGTAATCGGAAATAAATTCTTAAAAATTTTTAGTTACTCCGTGTTTTGGAAAAAGGACTTCTTTCATTAAAAAAGATCCAATTTTATGACAAAATTTATGGTGTTCGAACAAGAAAAACCTTTAAAAATGGCTGTCAGAACTTATGCTTCATCTGAAATGGATTATTATCATAATTGAGACATTTATCGCAATTTTTAAAAAATCAGCCGCAATCTTGAATGGTTGTACTTTAATTTTCTTCCAATAAATTGAATATTTATACATAAATACAATGATAGGAAGTAAACTAGAACCACACAAGCGAAATATAAACAAATTAGTGCTATTAAAAAATATCTTCAGAGGGCAGCACCCACCGGGTACATAGAAATCTCTTAGTTTACTTCCTATTGTTGCATATGTTAAAAAATCTTTAATTTCTTAGACTCAAATTAAAGCAAAAATTTTCAAAATTCCGGCTGATTCTTTTTAAATTACTATCAATGTGTCAATTGCGATAAACATTCGTATCAAAAAAAGTGTAACTTCTGACCGCCATTTTTAAATACCTTTCTTGATCGAACACCGTTAATAATATTTTCAAAAAAAATTTACATTATTTTTTCTATACTTTAGTATTATAATATTTTTAAAAAGTAAGTATAATAGTTACATAATAATAATAGATAAATAGATAAATAAACAAATAATTAATAAATATAATTATTTATATAAAAATAAATTATAAAAGTAATGACTTTTATTATTTCTGTTGCTCAGCTACATCCCTGCAGTACCTACAGTACACGAAAACGGTGCAACCTGTTCTGGTCAGCCATGTCCTATATCGCGAGCTGTCAGTTTGCTTTGTTTTGTAAGGGTGCAGCCTAGAGTTATTAGAATTTACGGAAGCGCTCATGCGCAAACCCTAGCAAGTGTGCTTGCCTACCGCTCTGAGCATCTCGAAGCAGCTCGGCATGTGTGCATATAGGCACACCTGCACGTGTGCTTTGAATGTTTTGATTCTCATCATTTTTCATAAATTAATAAAAACTAAGTGCCTTATTTAATTAAACTGTTAACAATAATTATAAATATTGCTTAAAGTAATAAATAAAATATATTTTATTGAAAAGCGCTTAATTTAATTTATTTCACTGATTTTTTTTCAAAAAAATTTACATAACCTCAATATAATTTAACATCTACTTTATGTTAAAAGCAAGAACTTTATTTTGTTTTAAGATAATTCTATAACATTATTGTTCAAAGTATATAATATAGTTATAATGAAATTTAAAAAATTTAATTTTATTTGTTATGAAAATATTTATTATAAAAAAAAAATTATAATACTATAACATGCGACACAATTTTAGATGGAGTTTGCGAAGGAAAAAATAAAAATAGAATACAAAGAGGAAAAGCAATGCATTTTTGTAATTGACAATAAAGTGAAAAAAGCTATGATGGATGGATAATAAATAAATAAAATAAATATTAATAAATAATAAAATAAAATAATAAAAAAAAATAAATAAAATAAATAAATATTTTCATAACAAATAAAATTAAATTTTTTAAATTTTATTATAATTATATATTATATACTTTGAACAAAAATGTTATAGAATTATCTTAAAACAAAATAAAGTTCTTGCTTTTAACATAAAGTAAATATTAAATTATATTGAGGTTATGTAAATTTTTTTGAAAAAAAATCAGTGAAATAAATTAAATTAAGCGCTTTTCAATAAAATATATTTTATTTATTACTTTAAGCAATATTTATAATTATTGTTAACAGTTTAATTAAATAAGGCACTTAGTTTTTATTAATTTATGAAAAATGATGAGAATCAAAACATTCAAAGCACACGTGCAGGTGTGCCTATATGCACACATGCCGAGCTGCTTCGAGATGCTCAGAGCGGTAGGCAAGCACACTTGCTAGGGTTTGCGCATGAGCGCTTCCGCAAGAATTAATGATTAAACGAACTTACCTGTGAAGTTCGATCATAATTATATGAATGAACTTGTTCGAAGATATTAACATGTAGTACCGCAACTTGTTGCCAGGTGACGCCACATTTTAGAGGCAATTTAGAAAAGCAACGACTTAGTCGCCTCTCTATATACCTCTTGTCCTTGCCTATCCCTTCCAACTGCTTCATTTAGTTTAGAGGCAATGTTTGAATTTTAAGGGATGGGATCTTTATTTGGGTGGGATAATATATCTTCGAACAAGTTCATTCATATAATTATGATCGAACTTCACAGGTAAGTTCGTTTAATCATTAATTATATTTCATTTCCTTGTTCGAAGATATTAACATGTAGATGTTGAGAGCTAAGAATATTTTTTAGAAAATTATTGTTTATTAACTATAAAAACTTTAATTGCCCTCAGGGCGAAAACTTGTAACTCACTTATAATTCTAATAATATGGAAAATTAAATTGTTAAATATTAAGAAAATGAACAAATTAAAGAATACGAAACGAATTAAAACTAAGAGTGAACACATCAAAATACTATGCAAATATCACATTAAATATTTGGTAGATTAGTTGAAGATCATTTCGGCAAACTCATTTTTCGAATTTTTTATAGGTCTCTTGTAGAACTTTGCGAAAGTGGTGGATGCTTGCGTCCAACCTGCTGCTTCTTTGATAATGTTAATATCCAAACCACGAGACCAAGCCTTGGAGGTAGAGGCATGTCGAGTACTATGGCCCTTAAATTCATCTTGGATTCCTGCTTCTTTCATTAACAACTTTAGCCATCTGCTAATAGTTTGGGATCCGACTTTCTTGAATGGTTCTCTGAAGGAAATAAAAAGGTTATTTGGCCTGCCTGGAATTTTTTCTGTCCTCCTTAAATACTCCTGCAGAGTTCTCGCAACGCAAATATTTGGTCTCTCGATGAAAAATGGAAAGAAGACCTGAGGATGAGATTTCCCTGGACGTGAGGTTTTTATTTGATCTGTGATCCGAATTTCCACACCTAGATTTGTGAATTTAATGTTTTCTAACTTGATTAACGATAAGTTTTGGACTCTGTAAGCCGACCCTAAAGCCAACAGCATTACTATTTTCAATGTCAGCTTTCGTAGATCCAAGGATTCCAGCGGTATCCATTCCTCTAGTTTGTCTAGCACCACGTTAACGTCCCAAGTAGATTGATATCTCGGGTTCGGAGGACGCAATTTAAAGATTCCTTTAAAAAATCTATGAATTAAATTATTCTTCGAATTCTTTTCTATATTACATATTAACGAGATAGCCGATCTCAACGTGTTTATTGTACTATAATTAGCACCTTCCGAGAATCTGATAGTTAAGCATTGTAAAATAGTTTCTTCCTTCGCCTTGAACGGGTTAACTTCTTTCTGTTGACAGAATGCCCACCAATGTTTAAGAACCGAATTATACTGCTTTGCCGTGCTTTCCGTAATTGAAGCTATCATTACTTCAATAGTGTCTTCCTGCAATCCCTTTTCGTGCCACGTCTGCCGGAGACAATTCCAGAAGCCAGGGTAAGGTTCTGTGATAAGGGATGCACTAGTTTTCTGCAAGGCGAAAATAAAAGGTTATTTGATGGGTTGAAAAAAATAATGTCAGAAATTAACAATCGTTTACATTCCGGGAACCAGGATTGTACTGGCCAGTAAGGGACAACTAGAATACCCAAAGAACATTCATCTCTGACTTTTTTTAAAACTTTCGTAATTAAGGAGAAGGGTGGAAAGGCGTACCAGAAAACATTCTTCCAGTTAACGGTCATTGCGTTGATAGCGTATGCTTCTGGGTCTCTATCCCAGGAACAATATTTTTTGCATTTCGAATTTATTCTGGACGCGAATAAATCTATTGAAGGATTTCCGAAATTATTACAAATTTTCCGAAATGCGAAATCGGCAAGTTCCCATTCGGTATCAACATTTGTGATTCTAGAGCCTTCGTCCGCTTTATTATCTTTGGAAGCTACATACTCCGCGAAAATCCACAATTCCCTACTTCTACACCACTCCCAAATCTGCTTAGCAACGTAATTTAAATGCATATGACGAGTACCTTCCATTTTATTAATATAGGCAAGAGCCGTTAAATTGTCAATTCTTAATAAAATTTGTTTGTTGAACTCATTTTTCGCGAAACATTTGAGTGCTAAGAACGCCGCTTTTAATTCTAGGAGATTTATTTGGAAATTTCTCTCCGAGCTATTCCAAAAACCGCTAGCCTTTTTGTCACCACAAGTGGCCCCCCAACCTGTGGTAGATGCGTCCGAAAATATTTCCAAGTCGAAAGAGCTGGACCTAATCTTATTTGTTGCAGTTAAAATCTGTGATCTCCACCACACTAATTCTTTAATCGCATCATCAGATAAAGAGATTTCAACATTTGGATTTTTGTTAAATCGCAGAGCGCTTATTTTTGTCATCTCCAGATGTTTATAAAATAGCCACCCGTAAGCGATCGCCGGACAAGCTGCCACTAGTACACCTATACATTCACTTAATTTCTGAATTTTAATTTTCTTGTCTCTAAGTATTTTGTCCAACATGTTTTTAATTTTTAATCTTTTAATTTCTGGAAGTGCTAAGGTCGTCTGCTGGGAGTTAATTATCATTCCTAAAAATTGGCAGCAGTGTTTGGGAACTAAATCACTCTTTTTCCAATTGATAATGAAACCCAAAAATTCGAGAATTTCTATAGCTAAACTGACGTTTTTCGCGCATTCTTCTTCGGAAGTTCCAAAAATCAAAAGATCGTCTAAATATATTACGACCTTGACACCCCTTTCTCTTAACCAGTTTACCACTGGTTTACCTAATTTGGTAAATACGAAAGGAGCTGACGACAAGCCGAAGGGAAGGGAATTAAATTGGTAGAGTTGATTTCTGTAATTAAAACGGAGGTATTTTTTATCGTTTGAATCTACGGGTACGGTCAAATACGCATCCTTCAAGTCTAACCTACACATGAGATCATTTTTATTCAATAAATTAACGGCTGTTCTTAAGTCTTCTATTTTGAAATGTTCTTTCTTTATGAAAAGATTGAACTTTTTAGATTTAAAATAAATCGTAAAGAGCCATCTGATTTGGGAGTGAGAAAATAAGAAGAAATATACTGGCCCTTTTCCGGAGAACATTTTTCAATTGCTTTTATGTCGAGAAGGTTATTTATAGCGAGATCTAAATCGTTATTTGGTTCTAAATGAGTGGGTTGAATCTTTTGTGTAACCTTATCTATAAGGTCAATTTTGTAACCTCTAACCACTTCTAAAATAAAACGATCTTCTATGATAGATTTCCAATTAATCTCGAAATATCTTAATCTAGCCGCGGAACTCACCTCATTAGTAGCTAGCGGCGATTCTGTTGTGGTTGGGATTGAGTGTACGTCCTCTTCAACGAGTATGGTCTCGTTCTGTTTTGCCTGGAGGTGTTTCCCCTGTAAGTATTGCCCCTGAAGCTCCCCCGACTCACCTCCCTCGTGACGGGCGAGCTTTTCCAGTTTAAAGAACTGTTTGGTTTTCCGGAAGTCTTGACCTTGGGCTTTAAATCCCGGGAAACTTTCTCCATAGCCTTGGAGCTCTCAATCACTGCTTTAAGGTTATCACCAAATAATAAGGATGTCGATTTCACCTTCTTCAAGATTTTTTGTATTTTATCCTCGTATTTGCCCATAATGAACGACTTACGAGCTTGATTTAAGGAAAAAAATAAATGACTTAAAAGTTTCACAGCATTAGAAAGATTCGATAAAATTACGTCTCTTTCCAGAGGGTCCTCTGCATCTTTAAAGATCATATCTAAAACTGTAGCGACTGCTGATAAAGCGGATCCAGTTAGATTTTGATAATCCTTAAAAAAGTCGTCTCGGGTCAAAGCTTTAGGGTTAGTGTCAACCAAGATTTCGTCATTAAGTAGCGGAGCTTCCAAATTTACATTTCCTTTCCTAGGAATTATTTTTAATAATTTTTCCTTCTCCTCTTTGCTAGCCAAACCCTTCGCTAACCAGGACTTGATTCTTGCTGAGAGGTCCTCTTTTATTTCAATTTCTGCTAATGCAGCTATTTCCGGATTAGCACCTAGAAACAAATCTGCTTCGTCCTCCATCGGTGTGTTCTCCTCCTCAGTGGGGAAATGTTCCGCATTTGCCGCGTCTCCCTCAGACTGTGGGATATCTGAAAGAAAAGTTCTTGTTCCTTTAAATAAAGAACAGAAAGTTGGCCCTTGTTAATGACACAAAGATCAGAAATCGGCACTAGTTAATTGGCAATTGGTTTCAACTTGGGATTGAAACTCTGCCCGAGGAATTTTGAACAAAGAAAAATTTTTTGCCTTGAGGGGGACGCCGTATTTCCAAGATGGCACCTGAAACAGAACAAAGGACTAACCTTCGAATTCTAATTCTTTATCTTGTTGGTCGTTGTCCAGATTCTCCATCCTCGCAAACGTCCTGTTCATCTCTGCTTCCAGTTCACTAATTTTTTCTTCGTATTTCAATTTTAATACTCTTTTTCGATCCATATCACCCATAATTTACTGAAAATAGGCAAGTATATACATGTGATGTCAATCAGCGCCAAGAAACGAATGTAGCAGTTGGAAGGGATAGGCAAGGACAAGAGGTATATAGAGAGGCGACTAAGTCGTTGCTTTTCTAAATTGCCTCTAAAATGTGGCGTCACCTGGCAACAAGTTGCGGTACTACATGTTAATATCTTCGAACAAGGAAATGAAATATAATAGAGTGCGCAAGCGACCAAAATGTTTCTTAGGCGCATAGACGGAGACAGCCATACGAAAAGAAGACCCCTTTCCTTTCTTTCTCTAATAACGCATGCGCGATAGTGAAACAGCTGATGCATCGAAACAACTGTTGCTTGCTTGCAATTATATTTTTCTTTTATTTACATGACAAATAAATAATTTAAAATAAATTTAAAATTAAAATAAAACATTTATAATATTTAAAACAATTTTTCATGCGATCTTTTTAGACAAAAACCTAACCAAAAACTTTCATTCTTGCACATGCGCCAATAAACAAGGTAAGAAAAGGGGTCTACTTTCATGCTTTTGTCTCTTTCTATGCGCCTAAGAATGCCTCTCACGGTCTCACGGTAAAAGGTATAACTCGCGCACTCTATTCTAATAACTCTATGGGGTGCAGTCCCATGCTGAGCAGAAAAAAGAATGCAAAGCAGAATTTCGTGAGTGCAAGAGAGATAGTCAGATATCACTATCCTTTCCACTCTCACGAAATTCTGCTTTGCATTGTGTTTTCTGCTCAACATGGGACCGTACCCTAAAACGCGGATTCATATTTACGCTCCTAGAAACATCTAAAGGCGCACTCACAGCTAGTAGGCAGCATACAAATTTGAATTTACTGTCTCTTTCACTCTAATTGACTTTCTCTCTTACTCCAATTACTGCCTGCGTAGGCAGGCAGAGCTGTGAGTGCTCCATAATCGTCATAAGTAAGTTTGAATTATATTCTCTATTAAATATTATTTATTCTTAAATCGACCTTTTTTCATTTTTTGTCTAAACTTTTTAAAATTAATTTTCAAAGTCAAAAATTACATACACCTAAAGAGGGGAAGATTTTGACTTTGATAATTCATTTTTAAAAATCCAGACAGAAAATGAAAAAAGGGCGATTTAAGGAAAAATAATATTTAATAGAGAATATAAAACAAGCTTTCTTATGACGATTAGATGTTTCTATAAGCGTGAATATGGATCCGCGTTTTACAAAACATAGCAAGCTCAATATAGGAATTTGGACATGGCCAACTATATCAGGTTGCACCGTTTGCATAGTATACAGTAGGAATGTACTTGAGCAGCAAAAATAATAATGAGGGTTTATTATTTAATAATAAGGTTTATTATTTATACTTTTATTATTTAATGTTATATAAATAAGTATATTTATTTATTATTTGTTTGTTTATTTATTATGATTATATCTATGTATATGTGGACGTCCACATGAAAAGGTCCCATTTTGGCACTATTGGAGTTATCTATATGGGCGTATTCCTGGCAAAATTTGGAAAATTTTGAGTGATCTTAGAACTTTTTTGGTTCAAAATTCTCTAAGTTACGGAATTTCAAAGTTTAGAACGCCAAAAACCTCATTTCGAAAAAAACGGAATTAAAGTGTGACGGGAAAATCATTCTGACGTTATTTCAAGTATTTTATTGATCAAATATCGTTTAATTAAAGGTAAGGGTTGTAAGGTCAATAGTTCGCCCCTGCGACCTTGCATCGATTGAAGCGCCAATAATGCGATCAATTGACGCATTACAGAGATGCCATTAGGCGGAGGAATTTCATCCCCACTCTTGCGCCATTTTACATTGACTTAAATGTAAAATGGTGCAAGAGTGGGGATGAAATTCCTCCGCCCAATGGCATCTCTGACGCATTACCAGATTTCTGAAAAGAGAACGTTACTCTTTGTTCGACCGTTTGAATGTTAGCTGAAATTTTGTAGTGTGTTTTGCGTGCCGAAAAGGATTGTATATTCGACATTTGACTGAAATTTATTTTGTATCTAACTTCTTCCCCACTCAAAACATTCGTCTTTTATTATATTAAACATAAGAACATTTTAAATTAAAATTATACGAAACTCACGAAGAAACCTTTCCTCGCAAGGCGTTGGAGAAAACGTAGTGCACAACTCGTGGTGAAAGAATGATTTTTCTCGAGTGATTGCTGCTCTCGCTACGCTCGAGCCGCAAACTTCACTCTCGAAAAATCACAATTTCGCCACTAGTTGTACAATGTACTATAATTTATTAAATACATGTTACAAACCAGAAATAAATTTATAAATTAGGCTTTTGAGATGGCCCTTTATCTCGATTTGGGGAGGCACCAAGCTGCCAGAATGTTTAATTATTCTGTTTAATTTTGTGGGGACGTTATCCTACTTTTAAAAGTTACCTTCTGATTCGTTAAATGCACTATTTTTAAGATGATTTGAATTTAGGGTTTAGTTAGGTAAGTAAAGAAATTGATTCTATGAATACATGATTTATTTTAATTTAGCAAAATACCTTTTGAATACAGAATGGTTATAGTGTGTTACAAATAGAAAGGGTGTGTGTGTGTTAGAATATGTGATGGAAACGATACTTATTTACTTACAAACTACCGGCGGAGCTATTCCTCTTTCGAATCACAAAACATCCGTCGGGCGAAAATTCTTTTGTTTTTGTTTTTGCTCAAAATCGCGACGTCTGATTCGCGAAATTTTCTTTCGTTTGCGAGATTGCACCTGTGGTGAGTGGACGCGGGCAATATCTATGCAACCGGCCGTCTCACGCAACTGTGTAAAACTCACTGCGGATCTACCGTTTACCGAATTAGTCCGGGCAATATCTATGCAACCGATAATTCGATAATTGGTTATGGTCGCGCTCGTGGGCCACCGATATTTGAGACGGACGCGGGCAATATCTATGCAACCGGCCGGTTATAAATAACAAGATTCTAGAATTATTAATTATATTAATAATTCCAAAATCTCTCCAAAATCAGCCCGCACTGGACTCCACCGGCTCAGAGAATTTGAAAATTTTAACGTCTGCCCTAATTCATGCAAATCGGGTTCCGGGTCGCGGACGGGCTTTTTGTCGCGAAATTTCTCTGTCCCAAAACACTTTCTAGGTTAGACCCAGGAGAGGTGTCTTCGAGAAGAAGCGAGAATTCGTACTGCAATGATTGAAATTTTGCGACAAGCCTCTAACCCTTGCCTTCTTTGTCAAGGTGGGGAAAACAAAAATTTAGGAGTAGGGAAAACTCATGGGCCCATTGGACGTTGCATTTTTGCTGACGTTTTAGATCTCACGGTAGCTCCGTGAGAACGGAAATAGTCTATTAATATGATATTTTTCGACACCTTATTTTAAGATAACTAAGAAATAAATAATAATTATATTATTTTAATTAATAAAATTATTATTCGTCTTAGTTATACTGGTAAATATAATTTATTTTGTTGTAATTATATTAGTCCTACATGATATAAGTTACTTGTATATGTGTTTTGCATTTCGCATAGTTATACATATACACATATACATGTAATTTAATGTCCTCCGGCATTTTGTTGTTAACAAAAGTTACAACAAAATGTTTATCTATTGTCGAATTACTATTTCATTGATTTGGAATTGTGCATAAATCAAAATAAAATATGTACGCATCATAAAGCGTTTTGTCAGCTGATAATGCATGTGAATTAGTTATACTATTCTAGTCCGTAAGATTGTGGGCCCAAAGGGGAAAAGGGAGGGTTTCCATAGGATAGATAAGGCAACGAGAAGAGGCATGTATAGCGAGCTTGTAAATGTGACCGTAACACAAGGAATCTATGGTTGTATTAGTTCTCGTAGTCAGCGGAGTCAGTGGATGCCATACATTTAATTATTTCTCAAATGGAATTATATTTTGCTTTTTAAATTATAAAATATGTGTACTGTATAAATTTTAAAACAGAAATAGAGCATTAATTTTGGTTATAAATTTGTGAGCAATTTATATACAATATAATGTAATATGAAAAGAATACGCATTCGACAAATTTCTGTCTAAACTTCTGTAGCGATAATAAGATATTAATAAAGAAATAGCTGTTAGGTACTTTGTACGTAACAATCCACCATGGAAATTTTCCGTTTTCGTCCCCGAAAACTTTTTGCTTAAGAAGACAAGGCAAAAACTTTCCGAACACATATACCTTACGTTTCTGTTTTAAATAAAACAAGTTAAGAATGGTCATTTTCCGTGAATAAAAATTTTGTTTTTTTTGTTTTGCATTTCGCATCGGTAGGATTAAGTTTTTAGCTATTCTAAATTTTCATATTCGTTTACTCGATTCATTCGTATAATTGGCATAATAATAACATACATACTTTTTTTTTTAACTGAAAAACATAATTTTCTATTTTGAATTATAAATTATTTGATAGCGCTACCTATTGTTTATTAATTTCTAATTTAACTTGGAACAACAATTAGAGAAGGAATCGCTGTTTTAATTTATCAAAATCACAACTTCAAGTATTCAAAATAGCAGTTTACTCTTTAATAGTTTAGACAAGAACAAATTAAACTGTTCTTGAAATTATGATTTTGTTGATTTAATCGTTGATATAATTGAAAATTCAAATCTGTCTTCAAATGGCTGTATGTATAGGAAAACTATTTTAACTTTACTTTATAGATTTAAAAGAATTTATTTAGAAAGCTTTACCTTTTTTTTAATTATGGAAAATTCCATTTTCTTTACACATTGAATTCCCAATAATATATTTACCTGTTGCAAAATATATATGTAATTAAACCTTCAATCTTAACGTTAAACTTTAATTAATCATTCTACTCATATTTTAATTATACAAAATAAAATTGAAAGTTTATATACATAATGTTTCTTTTCTTTCTCGCTGTAACAGATTTTTTTTTTAAAAACAAGTAATAAAATGATTTCTTAATTCTTTAAATCTAAGTT